CCCACTGGCAATTCAGAATGGGGCTTTCCGGCCTTTATCATTCCAAAGAAGGATGGCCGAGTCAGATGGCTTGTTGATCTCAGAGAGTTAAACAAAAGGATAAAGAGACCTCAGTTTAATCTCCCCAAAATCCARGACATCATGAACCAAAGAACACGGTATGATCACTTCACTAAGATTGATCTCTCCATGATGTTCTATTGCTTTGAACTGGATGAAGAAAGCCAGAAAATATGCACTCTTACTACAACACACGGCAACTACAGGTGCTTAAGATTACCCATGGGACTCAAGTCATCTCCCGACTACGCTCAAGCCTTCATCACAAAGATCCTATCTGGCTTGGATGTCGAAGTATATATTGACGACATGGGGATTTGGTCTCGTGGATCTTTAACCAACACCTTTCATTGGTTGACCCAGTCTTAGCACGCTTGGCCTCCAATGGGATGAAGTGCAATCCGCTCAAGTGTGAGTGGGCAGTAAAGGAGTCTGACTTCCTTGGCTACTGGCTCACTCCTACAGGAGTCAAGCCTTGGCAAAAGAAAGTAGATGGAATCCTCAAGATGGGAATTCCACAAAACCAATCACAGGTCCGGTCTTTCMTTGGTGCAGTGAACTACTACAAATCCATGTGGCCGCGCCGATCACATGTATTGGCCCCACTAACTGCCCTCACTGGATCCGGTCCCTATGTTTGGACACATGAATGCAACCAGGCCTTTCAAGAGATGAAAGCTCTCCTAGCACACAATGCTATCAACACCTTTGCGGACCTGGAAGAGCCCTTTCATATTTACACTGATGCATCTGATTATCAATTGGGAGCAGCAATACTCCAGAATGACAAACCGATTGCAAATTGGTCAAAGAAACTGAATAAAACCCAAATGAATTTCACCACAATGGAAAAGGAGCTCTTAGCTATCATCCTATGCCTCAAGGAGTATCAAAATATGCTCTACGGTGGCAAGATCTACATCTACACTGATCATAAGAACCTTACATTCAGAACGCTGTCCCAGTCCTGAGTTCTCAGATGGAAGCTAAGCCTGGAGGGCTTCGACATTAACTGGGAATACATCCCAGGCAAGAAGAATGTTCTTGCAGATTGTTTCTCTAGAGTGCCCAGAATGGATCCGTGCACTGTCCGGGACAAAGAAAAGAAAATTTATGAGAAAAAGAAAGGAACAATGGTGAATTTCAAGGAGTTGGCAGCTCAAGTGGATCCCGAAGATGTATTCTACTTGGAACCAGAGCTATATGAGTGTTTGCTCAATTTGCCACCAGTATCAGAGATGGAAAATCCAATCACAAATGCAAGCCTCTACACTTATCAACTCACGGACCCCCAGTGCCAATATCTGCTTGAAACAGACCTAGAACACTACATCAAGAGAAAGATAGGCACCTTTGAACTACTCACAGTATCCACGAATGATAATAATTGGAAAATCTACTTGCCAGATGGCCTCGTAGACAAGACCCTCAGATGGTACCACCTCTTATTGGGTCACTGTGGAAGCACAAGGCTTTATGAAACTATCAGTGCTAGGTTTTATGCCCCAAGACTCAGTTTACGGTGCAAACGATATCAGTGTCCGGATGAGTGTCACAGATTCAAACAACAGGGACAGGGTCATGGCCTATTACCAGYGCGGGAGGCTCAGCTTGCTCCTTGGAATGAAGTTTGTGTCGATTTGATTGGCCCCTGGAAAGTCCTTCTCCCGGATGAAACTGAATTAGTGATCAATGCACTTACCTGCATTGATCCAGTCACGAACCTACTAGAAATCATCAGAATCAACAACAAATCAAGTGAGCACGTGGCAGAGCAGTTTTCAAACTGTTGGTTGTCAAGATACCCACAACCAAATAGGTGTGTCCATGATAATGGCTCAGAATTCATCGGGACTCCTTTCAAACAGTTACTGAATCAATACGGAATTAAGAGTGTCCAGACAACTGTTAAGAATCCTCAAGCAAATGCAGTTTGTGAGAGAGTTCATCAGACAATCGCTAATGTTCTACAAGCGACCCTTCATAGCAAGCCCCTTGAGGAAGCTGAGTTTGATGAAGATCAACTGATTGACAATGCTCTTGCCTCGGCTATGCACGCTACCAGGTGTGCTGTGAATGCTGCGGTTAAGACATCACCAGGAGCTTTGGTTTTTAACCGTGATATGGTGATGGACATCCCACTGATTGCAGATTTAAAACTTATCAGAGATAAAAGACAACACCAAATCGATGAGAATCTTAGAAGAGAACGCCCGGAGAATACCCTTCAAGTATCAGGTTGGGCAACAAGCTTACATGAAACACTATGAACCAGACAAGCTGTCCCAAAGATTACATGGTCCTTACCCCATTGTGGAGATCAACACTAACGGAACTGTGGTGTTGMAAAGAAGTGACAACGTACGTGAGACAGTCAACATCAGGAAGCTTGTTCCTTGCAAAGGAACTGTCAAACATCCAACAACACAGGAGGAAGAACCCCTTGTTGAAAATATTGAAGACATGATTGCTACAGTTTAATAATGAGTAATATTGGAGCAATATTACTGTCCGGGACAATGCAACGGATGCGTACGTACTGTACTATCGGAAGTATACGTACATACGATACGAAGCTTCGAAGAAAGGAATGAAGGAGCATACCATTCCTATGTACCTATCGTAAGGTACGCTTCCTATGTACTGTATGTATCATAGGATCCATCGTGAGAGGACCGAACACGTAAGAGGTCCGAGGATCATAAGAGGTCCACGATATCAGAAATAGAATACCTTGCACGGAACAAAGATGTCAGTAGATCAGAATAATAAGAACCCTGTGTAGGTTTAGTACCGAGAGCTACACAGGATCTAATCAGAGCTACTGAAAGCTCGCGACGGAGCGCGAGAATCTTAATCTTATATCTTAATCTTATAATTTCAATTTTCATACACACTTAAACATACTAAGAGTACACGTAATCTCGTGCAATCCTTGGTTCTCCATCAACCCAGATGACTGTAAATTTGTGGGTTATTCGTGGGTTCTTTCGTGGGTTATTTGTGGGTTCCTGGGTTCTTTCGTGGGTTAGAAGTATTTTTCAAATTAAAAAACCCACGTTTTTCTAGGGGAGGAATTCGAAAAGGGGGATGTGCGGGTGGGTACCGGAGGGACCTGGAGAGCGCCCGATTCCAGGTCTGATCAGTCCCRTTTGACTAAACTCAACACTTATGCGCAATGTGAATGCGCGCGCCACCTCATTTTTCCTATCTAATAGACATAATCTACTTAAGGGGCACAGCCTCTTTTTATTTGTGCGATCCCCGCACAATAATAAAAATAATGTTACCTCACCGACAATAAAATTTTATTATGCTGTTAATAAAATTTTATTATGCTCATAATAAAATTTTATTATTGTTTTATGAAGCTGTTAATAAAATTTTAATATTGTTTTATTAGGCTGATAATAAAATTTTATTAATGGATGTTTTCTAATGTGTTATCGTGGAAAAACATTTTTATTAAGTCAATAATAAAATTTTATTAACGTTTTATTAAGGCAATAATAAAATTTTATTTAGTCAATAATAAAATTTATTAAGTCATTAATAAAAATGACTTCGCCGGTAGTAAAATCCTACTGGATGGGAAACTCCAAAGAATATGGCCTTGATAACCCCCATCCTAAAGAACCATTCGATTGAAGAAATGACCGTTATTTTGAAGGAACTCCGTTAAAAAATTGTGCGCAATCGCGCGAAAACTGAAAATTCTTCATTCGGGCCCTCTCCTGTATCTTGAGTACAAACGATCACATGTTGGAAGACAATAACGGTAGGAATTTCCGCCCTTACGTCGTCGGAGTAGACAAAAAAATAGTCCAAGATTCTAGGAGATTCATTTCATAGATTCGTCTACGACACGATTCTACTGAAAACGTTTACTCCAATACGCCACACAAAATAAAGTGGAGATTCATCTAGATGCAATAACACGAAGTAGCCCGACAACGTTTTCAACGTCTCGTTTTGTATTCTTCGGGGATTGTCTGCTAGCCGTTCTTTCCTTTGTACGGAAAGTTGTCAACAATATGTTGACAGCGATCAAATCGAGAGAGACACCAACTTGGAAACTACTCGAACTATTCGACTGTGATGGCAAGCTTTTGCGCAGCGAATCAAATTCTTCAATCTTTTAACAGTCAAGTTTAGTTTAGAACAGCGCCATACAAATCGTTACTAGCTCGCGACAGCGATACAGTAGAAGCGGTACTACAATACCCGCAAACAAAAAATAAGAGAAAAACAACAATATTTTCATTCGGGAGATCGAATTCAGATACCATTGGAAGAAAATTCAACCATCTGCTCGAAAGTGCAATGAATCTTTGACGAATAAACGAAGAACAGCAACATCCACACCAGCATAGAAACAGAAACTAAGTCACAGCACCGTCAACTTGCACTGCAATTGTATGTATCCAAGTAATATAGTTGCAGTTGTGACCTTTTCCCCGATTGGTATCCGCAAGCTTATGATTGCGCTGCTTTTTTCATTGTTTATGTTGATCTTGCTAGTTGAGTTGTGGGATTGATAGGTTTGGCCGGTGGATCGACTGCAGCGATTTTTAGGGAGTGAAAAAAGGGCACAGGAGTCGATAGTGACTGAGTTGTAATCCTTTTTCTTCAATGATCATTGCTTCGTTTGCTTGCGATCGATCGACTTTCAATTCATTTAATTTCTCCATTGGTTCATGCATTTGTATGCTGAGAAGAGATTGAGGTGCTCCACCTCCTCGTTGTTAAACAACAAATGAAACGCAAAAGACCATGCCAGACGATTCCTATCGATTCGTCAACAGGACTAACATCGGTACGACATCCTTTCGGAGCTTCTGCAGCAACAGAACATGATGCGGCACGTAGTTTTTCTTCCGCGAAATTCGAGTTGGATCCGTTGGAGTACCACCGTAGCTTAGTCTCAGAAATACTGAATATTGGGACCGAATATGCCTCCCCGTCGCAGATCTTTGATCAGATGACGCTGATTCACGGCAATTCAGAGTTCCAAAACCTCAAGCTGGAACAAATCAAGAGCCACCTACAACGATTTCGAAAAGTTTTCTTCAACTATACGGGACAAAAGAATAAGAGTAGCATTAGCACGAACAATAGAGGGGGGTATGCTAGAGCAAAAATGAAGAACTGCAACTTGAGAAGCAGAACTTCCAAAAGCGATAGTATTAATAGTACTAATGAATTTGATGACACCGCTTTGAACAAAAGCAATACTAAACCAGAAAACAGTAATCCAGAAAAGCAATCTTTTTTGGACGAATTTGACAACTTTGTCGACTTTGGTTTGGACGCAGCAGAAGCAAGCTTGGCTTCTGCTGAGGATAATTACCAATGCATAGTGGGTGGGAGAGCCATTGGCTTGGTCAGTCGAATGATCATGATGGACGAAAACGTCTTCATTGAAGGCCACCAACAACATCATAAGTCCTCGAGTGCAGGTGTCAAAAATAAAATCAAGAATAGCCACGGGATCAACAATAAACTTCTAGGTGAAGCCATTGTCAGAGACATTGATGATTATAAGCTACCTTTCGATGCCTCAATTCCGAGACTGACCTCAGTAGAAAAGGCTTCACACCTTGGGCAATCCATCGAGTTAATTACGGGATTGTTGGAACATCTCAATCATTACATACATTCGGAACGACAAAAGCGTCAGCAGCGGGATGGTCACCATTGGCAACAGCACGAGCAACAACAACATCAGGCACTTTTCAAATCCTTTCCATCCGAGGCGATGGCGACCGCCATGTCGCTTGCCGCTGCCGCTGCTACTGAATCTCAGATGTCTGTGGTACAGCAGAAACGATTCGAAGGCATTCCATCACTGTCCATCTCATCGCCGACCAGAACGGAAAGATTCGCGCGCACCGATGTCTCCATGGTGTCTACTGGACGACACCAAGGGACAACTTCGGTCGACACTATGATAACTTCGCAAATGAAAATTAAAAAGAGAATCACGACCTCAGCAGTATCGACTATCGCGTCAAACACAAGGAGATCAGAAAGAGCGTCGTCTCCAAAGCAACGCTCGCAACCCATATCACATAGATTCCGAAAGGATTCATCAGCTACGAGAACGAAAAAAATAGCCTTCCACAAGTTGCAAAAAGCCATAGATGATCTTACCCGAAACACTCGTTGTGACAAACGTAAAGACAAACAATCCAGGGAACAACTCTATAGAAAGTGTAAACGAGACAACGAAGACGCCATCAGTTCCTCGGATCTGAGCTCCCTTTCAACGTCATCAGAAGACTGTGACGACATCAACTCGACGAATAATTCGAATTTCAGTAACGTCTATGTGAGGAATGGAAATGGTCCACAAAGATTGGTCGGTCGAGAAAAGAAGTTACAGTTCATTGACAAAGGGAACGACTCGTGGATATTTGACAGGCTTACTCCCCCCTGCAAAATTCTTTTAGTACGTCAGGCGATCGACCCATCCCACGATTTTCAAGACAATTGGCCCTGCGAAGCTTCGCCCTGCTCGTGCTGCTCGTCGAATTCGTCCAGCCAATTGTTCCTCGCTACTAATGCCAACAAAGGTCACGATATTTTTGACTCGCGCAACCCAACGCTGCGAACAGACAAAAAAGAAGCACATCGAATACTGAAGTCTCATGAAGCATTTGTTCCAGGAAACCCGAAGTTGCCTGACAAAGAAACTAATACGATGGCAACTGGAATAGGAACCTTTCGGAGGGAAGACAGTTGTGCATCTGATATCTCAAGCATCGGAACAGAGATGGTAAACAAACTTCCTGCTGAACAACGCGGAGTAGATGCGTCTGAACTTGTTACTAGAGGTATCAACAATGATAATCGTTACAGTCCGTCCATGGGGTTCATCTCTCTGCCAACTACAGGGGATGCTTCTTTGCAGCAACTAAACGAATTTTCTTTTTCACCACCAAATCAGTCGCAAAGTTATCTTGATATCGAGAATCAGGTACAGAATTTCAATAGAGGAGGAGGAAGCCATCTCGGCGATCATGCAGTTGTTGCGAGCGGGAGCCATCAAAATTGGTTGCAAACCGCAACAAGAGCTACGAATGCTGCCACTAATACTAACACAAGGATGACGCACTCTTCGCAACAACATCTATCAAATCACGAGCCTCATCCAAGTCGACCACAGGAACCAGCATTCACCCCTGCGGCCGACCGCCTCGGAAGATTCTTTCCTGTGAAAGAATCTGAGGGCAATGACGATGTTAGCATTTGAAGATAGCGTTGTCTGTCCGCTCCATTTCCCAAACCGTTTGTTTCTTTGTTTCTTTTCGGCTATCAAATATTATAACAATATCTAATGTGCAAAAAACTAGCTAGTATATTTTTTCTGTTTCTTTTCTGATAGACAAGAGCTTGAAAATTTCCATTAGTGCTTTCTACCGTGATAACCTCTATTGCTGCTTGCAGCACCAACAGCACAGCCTTACCCAGCAGTTTGCAATGTTCACTACTAGTATAATGACACCCCCACTAGTAATAAGTAATGGAGATTATCCAGTAGTAAGCACCAATTGTAATTATCTAGTTCTGTTGAACAAATAAGCTCTCCAGTAGTAAGGACCAATATAGAAATATTTTGGGACCAAGAAATTAAACAATGGAAAAAAATTTATTTTCGTCCCTTGGATGCCTGCATTTTTTTAACTTGTTATAACTGTAAAAATGAGCTAAACTTTCTACTAGCATTTGTGCGAGAATTGCCAATAGTTTGCCACGGGACATACAGGTAGGTACCATTAAATGTGAGTCACTAACACGTAAATCATAACCTGCAAAATGTACGTGTGCTCTTTAGTGTTGCATAACTACGTGTTTACAATAAAGAGTGAGTTTATTCACTATCTATTCGGGATTGAGCCTCACAGAGCAAGCTCTATTGTAAACACCAATTCATGTGACACTACTGACAGTACGAGTACCAGTACGAACGCAAATGTGTGGACAAAATGCGTAATAGGTTATGAGTACAATAAGACGCGCCAGTTTTTAGCTGTGAGCTCTTAACTTTGCTTGCTTGTTA